CACCGAACACTGAAGCCAGCGGAAGCTCTGCCCGTTTGACTAGCCAAAATAATTAATCATTTTAACTCTGATAGTTGATTAAGTTAATGTTGAATTTTTAAATCATTTTAGTGTTAATTACATTTATTTAATTCTGCTAGTTTTCTTATTAATTCAAAAAGTACTGTAGTAGTGTATAAGAGATTGTGTTTTTAATTTTCCCTGCTTCTGATCCTTAAGATCAGAAGTGGGATAGTGAAACTCCCACGTCCTTGTTTGTACATCCTGATACGATGTGTTTCCATTGTTATTTCTTTAATTGGCTAGTCATACGATCAGAAATATATTTTTGGTAATTGTAACTACCATTGTTTAAAAGGACAAATTAGCATTTTGTTTTCGGTGTTTCGTATAATATACGTAAGTAAGACGTGATGTGACGGTGTGATCAAGTTTTATAATGTCAACTTTGGTGAGTACGTTCCAATTGTTTTCTTCTCCGCTTTAAAATAACAAATAGAAGTTGTATTTGTTAGCTTTTTGTGTAAATTTTAGAATGGCTCAATTTTAATATTTTGTCGTGTCTACCCTATTGATCAATTATTTACCGTAACCTGAATATCCTGCTTGGAATTACGTCTAAATTTTGGCTTGCATAAAATTATCCGGTGTGAATGCGAAGAAACTTTGTTGTGACGAGAAGTTTTCTTGTTCTGTAACAGTTGATCATCCCGGACACATTCTTATCATGAATTTAATGCACGCAAACACGTAGCATCTCATCCAAGGAGGTTTCATATTTTTATGGACCTCTTTACAGTGTTGATGAAAAAGAAGTCAATGCAAACGCCATTTAAGTCTAACCACGTGTCACTGCCATGTTTTTTCTATTTCAATTATTTTTAATTTTAAATAATAGCTTGAACATGATTATGTCCAGGAATTGTATGCACGCGATTAGCATGAAAAATGCAAAATTCAGTACATATATTAGTTTTATGTAATTTAATTAATGAAATTAGACATTTTTTGAACAACGTAAATAGTATGTACAGTCAGCGTCATATAGATCGTCACAGACAAGATATGCAAATATATAGGTACACCAAAAGTAATCAATTATATCGGTACAACAAAAGTCCTCAAAATAATAGATACATTCACCCTGCTCAAATACATCGGTACATACACAGCGTCAAATATATGAGTACATGCAAGATGCTCATAAATATCGTAGCAGCCACAGCGTCATAAGTAACGAAGCAGTCAAGGTGCGCAAAAATATCGGTACATTTGACAAAATTGAACTCTATCTCTATATACTTGTGATACAATTTGGAATAAACTACTTCTGTTACATTCATTTGACACTTTGTATTAACATTATAGGTTGTCCGGAAAGTTCGTTCTGATTTTCGATATAAAGCTTACAAAAGACTGTAGCTGAAGTAGATTCATTTTCGGATTTCCACCATTATCAAACGTCACAAAAATTTCTATATTGTAAATAATTTCATTTCATTGGTTGAGATAAAAATTAATTTTTAAAATTTTAGCCAAAAATAAAAGACGTTTTAGGTATAGAGTCGTACCAATATAATTTAAAAACATTTCCAAAAATTTAAGAGAACAGGGTTTCAATTTTCCTTATAAAGCGGCACGAACTTACTGGGCAACCCAATATTTTTCTTCTCCTGTCATAACGCTTAAATATAAAAGTTTGTCACGCCGAATATGACAGATACGTATTAACTAATATCAAATTTTGCCTTGTCACAATATGTATAATACTAGTTTGGCGCAGTATTCTAGTATGTTTGCCGTAATATGGAAGTTTACCGGTTCGAATCTCAGGCTACTTTTTTTTATTTTATCAATCACGGGGTTATTTTTTCATAACCAGTAAAAATTTGGTAATGTAAAATTTTGCTCGACAATTTTTTTT